GGAGAGAGGTGGTGGGTGCTTTGGGAGGAACGGTTGATGAAAGAGCTGGAGGGAGGCAGCATGTCTGGCCTTATAGGAATAGCCCTTGGGTTACTGATGGTGGCTCTGTCTTCCTTTTGTGGGGTTAGAGGAGGTCAGAACATGTGGCCTCCTTGCCCTTTCTGCAGAGAGCCAGGACAGGAACAGATATATGCACACTCATGTTCATCGCAGCACTATTTACAATAGCAAAAAGATGTAAACAACCTATGTTACCATCAGTGGAAGAGTGGATGACCAAACTATGGTAAATACACATAATAGAATGCTATGCAGCACTAAAGAATAATGTAGAGTCTGCAAAACACTGCATAATATGGATGAACTTGGAGGACATTATGCTGAGTGAAATAAATCAAACACAGAAGGACAGATATAGTATTAGTTCATTGTTGTGGAGGGTCAAGAAAAGGTTTATATATGGAGGGAAACTTTCTTTGTTGGTTGTCAGGGGTGGGAGGGAAGAGGAGGGAACACTGCCCCCCCCCCAAAAAAAAAGCATTTTCCCATGTCACTTTAGTTTTTTATATTTCATTGTACATAAATTATATTTCAATAAAAGGCATTAAAACATTAAAAAAAATGACAGCCTTATCACTATAAGTACCATAGTGACCTATAACCATGACAATGTGATAGGACCCACTTCCACCCCAGATACAAGAATAATGTTTCTTAGACTTTACTGTGCATGAGAACCAGCTAGGAAATTTGTTAAAATACAGATTAGAAAACCTGTAGAAATTCAGATTCAGATCTTGGGAGGGCTCAGACCAAGCCCCAACAAATACTTGACTTTCTGACTCTCAGCCTGGCCCAATGACTTTAGGCCAAGCACTCTCCTGCTGTGGCCCAGGCTACCTCTGCAGACATAGATCTCATAGTCTCTTAGAGCAGTGACAACAAACAAAAGGGCTGCAGGTGCCACCAAATAATATGGCCGGTTAACAGCCAACCAATTGTTGGTAAAAAAAATATTCCTGGTAAAAATATTTCACGTGAAACTCTTAAAATACTCATTTGAGCTGACACTTACCTCCCGGAGTGGGATAATGAGGCTACACAAGTTCTCCTCCTTGCTGGTAAAACAGATGTAATTTGTGGACACAAACATCTGCCCCAAAATGTGCATTTTGTTAAATGGAGTCCAGAGGGTACAGTCTGTGTGGCCATCTAATTTTTCATCTTTGGGCAGCCGGAAAAGTGCACGGTATCGTTCACTCTTTGCCCGGGCATCAAGATCACTGGAAAGCAGTAATAATAACTCACTTAATGCAAGAAAAATGTTTCAATACCTTCTAAATGATGTAGCAATGGAGTTTCCCCAGACCATTGCTCCCCTACTTTATCCTGCCAGACTTATTCCTAACTTCTTGGCTTTATATTGGAATGAACTCCAACTAGTGACCTAAATACATAATAAAATTATTTTAATGTATTTAGGCCCCTGTGTAGTCATGTTAGATCCCTGCGTGGCATAAATGGTTACGTGGTTGGCTAATAACCTAATGGTTGGTATTCAAACCCATCCAGTGGCACTGTGAAAGAAACGCCTGGTAATCTCCTTCTGTAAAGATTACAGCCAAGAAAACTCTACAGAGTGCAGTTCTACTCTGTAACACATGAGTCAGAATCGACTCACCAACAGTGAGTTTCTTTTCTTTTTCTTTTTTTTTTTTTGGTAGCCATGTCATAATCTAGCTCTCCAAAATGTTAGGCCTGAATAGGAAACTCATTATTTTCCTAATGCAATATTTTCTGAAGTGATTATTACATGTACATTTATCAGAGGCAATTTTTTTGAGCCTTATATCTTTTAATAAAAATCTATTAAAGATAGGAAACTTTGGAGGCAGTGAGTTTATGTTAGTGGTGGAGGAATAATTCAGAAAGGATGATTGTGTGACTTGAAAAACCTAATCAATGCCATTGAATTATACAAGTAGAAACTGTTGCATTGGTGTATGTTCTGCTGTAATATTCTCAACAACAACAAAAGATCTAATGAGAATGCAAACAAGCCACATGAATCTGCTGGAAGAAACTATCCTCCCTAAATCAACAACAAATCTTTGCATAGAAAGACACAGTATGAATAACCCACCTTTTGGACAGTTACGGTTTCCAATCTCAGCTGGGTCTTCTGTTGACAACAATCTTTTTTCTTATGAGTTCCTTTTCCTGTGTATCATGTGCCTTGTTTAAACCCTCTCCCCTGAAGCATCTACCCTATCTCAGCCTAGAGTCTGGCTGCATAGAGCAAAGAGAGGCCCTGATGTAGGAAATCCCTCCAGTGCCTTCTCTTGCCTCTCCAAAATTACCTGTCCTCAGTTGCTCTTTCTCATTAAAAAGGAAGAGGAATCAGCATACATAAATGTTCTTTTCCACACCCAATGAGAGAACGCTTTTTAAATTGTTTCCCTGTAGCTTCATTCTCTGTGCTCCCTCCTGCCCCACCCACCCACCTTCACCAACATAACTCTTGCCATCTGCTTATTTCATTCTATTCTATGTCCAAATCGTCTCCATTCTACAAAGAGCAATGACTTCCTTTACTATTGAATTTCTTGAAAAAGCAGTCTATACTTGCCTAATTTGCTTGCTTTACCTTTCATTTGCCATTTAATCCACTGCAGTAATAGTTTCTATCCTCCACCACTCTATTGAACCATGCCTCAAGTCACCAGACACCTTAACCCCAGCAATCTCTTTTTAGATTTCAACCATTAATACCAATGATTTCAAATCTCGACTATTCTACTTGACCAATCTCCAACCACATGTCCTGCAGGCAACTCAATTTAACATGATCAAAACTGAGCTATCATATCTCTTGGACATATATGCTCTTTCTTCTCTTGTTTCTCATCTCAGTTAATGGCAATTTCACACATACAGTTACTCTAGCAAGAAACCTTAGAGTATCAACTCTCCCTTCACCCTCTCTCTAGCTCTATTCCCTATGTCCAGGATTCTCTGCAGGCTCTCCTCATCCCATGCTCTACCAATGTCCAACCATGTGAGGGACTTGCTTTTCTCTCTGTTTTTCCTTCATGTTCTTCCCTTTGCCTGAAATATCCACTCTACTATACCTGCACAAGTAACTTCTACCCAATCCTTTGAAGCTCAGCTTAAAGTAGCTTCTGCAGGGAAACCTAACCTACTCATTCTGCCCCATTTGGACAGAGCTAACCACACCCCCTGTATGCATCCCAGTCCTGGAGTCATAGGACCAAAGAGTTCCTGTCCCATTGTGCTGTTTATGGATGTCTCACAGAACTGAGTGCCTTAAGCTGCCTTTTTCAGTTTCGTACCTATAACCAGAAGAGTGTATAGAACACTTGCAGCTTTTCAAAAAAGATTAAGTTGAATCACAAATAGATGAGTTTTTTGTTTCTAAAGTCTACAAGACAGAAAGTCTCCAACACTTACCGTTTCAGAGCAGACACTTTTTTAGGAGATTTCTTTTTCAGTTTGGGCAGGGATCTATCTTGTTCAAACCCCTCATTGTCTAAGAGTTGCCTCATGGCAATGTTGGCAAGCTGCTCCATTAACTTGAAGGTCTCGTTGATGTTGAGGAACACAGAGAAGAAATGTTCGCTGGACCTCGTGCTCACTTTGATCACATCAGGCAGAAGCAGCGTTGCATTCTTCTCAAGCTGAGTGATGTCCACCCACCGGATTACCAGCTTGGCTGAATCCAGGGAACAAATCTTGGTTAACACCTGACTCCTAACAGTTCAATCCAGATCCCACAGTCTCACTACCTCACATCTCAATCCCTCTGAGCTCCTAGTGAGCCCTTATTTATTTTTGAGCCCTTATTTACTTTTGTTTTGTTAGTTTTAAGAGGTAACTTAGGACCACATATGCTGTGAGTTCATAAATGGTATGGATTTAAGTCCATATCCTGTTGTTGTTGTTGTTATGTGCTGTTGAGTCAGACCCGACTCATAGTAACCCCTCCCTGGGTTTCTGAGGCAGTATCACTATGGAAGTAGATTGCCCAACCTTCCTTCTGAGGAGTGGCTAGTAGGTTTGAACCACCAACCTTCTGGTTAGCAGTCAATTGCCTTAGACGCTATGCTACCAGAGCTCCTAGTCCATATCTATCAAATTAATTCTACCTTTGGAGTATCTTTATTACTTAATGACTAATTTATGTAAAAATATTGAACTGAAGAGAATTCAATTCACTTGGTAAATAATGGGGGAAAAAATAAATGACCCATCTATACTACAAGTTTTGTTTTGATATTTTGATATGGTTTATGCACCAAGGGAAATCTTCAGTAGACTTTCCAAAACTTTTCTCTGACATCCCAGGCAACGTACCTTCCCTTCCCATAAGAAAAGAATAAAAGCAAAGGTGGTTAATACTGAGGTACATCCAGCCCTGTCGGGGGACCTTTCCCTTCCAGTAGCTGCAAGAGTAATAGTTGACAAGTTTCTCTTCTTCAGGCATCCCAAACAGCCTATGGAATTTCACAATGGCTTCCTTAAACTTCTCGGTGTCATCATCTTCCTTTACATCATTGATTTTGTTATACTCTGCAATGATGCCCTAAGCAAGGATAAAACAGAAAGCACACATTGGAATTAATATGTCTATATATTTATAGCTGTTTTTTCCCTTATGCTGTACATATTTGAAATGAAAACAAAATTTCTAAGGCTCAAATTAAAAAATAACAACAGCAACACAAAACAACTGATGTATCTGTGAAAAGGCAAACCCAGATTCTAAGCCAATTAACAGGTATCATTTGTGAACTAAAAGATTTTCAAACAGCAATAGATATTTTATCTGCTTATTGGTGCTATTCATTTTATTAGGTGTGCTTAGAACAAAGCCCAATGTTTTTATTTCACAGATGAGGACATGTCAAAAATTTTTGCTTTTGCTCTCTTCATGATAGAGTCAACCAAAGGTCAACTCCTGCCTTTCTCAAAATCAACAAAAATTCATCGTGAATAGCAAATTTGACCCTGTACAAGAGAAGGAAGAAAGACCAGAAGACATGCCTCTAACTGACACTTGGCTTCAGATCTGCTGTCTCAGGGTCATGAATAACATCAAAGAACCCAGAGATAAGGCACCAACAACCATTTAAGCAGAAAAGTGGTGAATACAGTGCCAAAAATCCTATTAGATACTATTTTTGGACAGTTGAAAAGGTAATGAAATATTTGCATAGCAAGTAACCAGCTACATCTACTATCTCATCACTATAACACACACAGAAGACATTTCTTTGCTACCCAATTTTTCTGAAATTCTCTGAAAATTGGCTTGTACATATTATGTCTTGAAAGAAAATGCTCCCTTGAATTTCATCTTTGACTTGGTAATTATCAAATCCCTCCCAGCCCCATCTTTATGATCTTTGATCTCAAAGTAGTACTGGAAAAACATGAGTTTTAGAGCATGAAAACCTTGAGTTCAAATTCTGACAGTATGACTGTGTATATGTGTGAATGTGGGCAGCTTCCCTGATTCTCCTTCACATAGGAGGAGTAGCAGACACTCCTCTTGACTGAGCATTCTTGTATCTTAAACAAAGAAAATTGCAACTGCTCCATATGTGGAATCCTTGCCTTTAGATTCTTGCTTCCAGTATACCTTATGAATTAATCTTCCTAAACTTGTTTTGATTACAGCAGGTTTATTATCAATATCCTCAGTGGTTCCTTACTATCATCAGTATAAAGTTTACAATTTGAAACCGTGCACATTTTGGATTCAACCAGCACTACAACCTTTCCTCTCTTTTTAACTACCAGCAAAAAAAACAAAAAACAAAAAAAGAGTTGCCATCGAGTCAACTCTTGACTCATGCCAAGCCCATGTATGTCAGAGAACTGTGATTCATAGGATTTTCAATCGCTGCTGTTTTGGAAGTTGATTTGCAGACTTTTCTTCTGAGCCACCTCTGAGTGGACTCGAACCTTCAACCTTTCACTTAATGGCCAAATGTGTAACCATTTGCTCCATCCAGGGACTCCATTATGGTCAACCAAAATTTTCCACTAGTAACTGGGCTCTAACTAGACTGAGACACTCTCAAGCCCTAAACTTGTCACCCATGTGCTCTCCTACCTTAATGTCTGTGGTTCTGCCACTCTGCTTGCCTAAAATCAGATTATTCTCTGTTAAATTAATCCTACCAATTCCCAAAGTCTAGATGAATTCCCACCTCCCTGTGAGTATTCTCCCAGCTATAGTTCCCCTTCCCCACATTAAGTACTATTGCTTCTCTCTGCACTATGTATGAATTGAAATAATTTCCTGAAATTTTTTTCACTGCCAGATCTTTCACCCCTGTTGACAGCAGTGGTAAGGTTTAGTCTTCCATAATCTCCATCTCTAGTCAATTGTAATTAAATGGAAATACAGTAATAGCAATGACCATAACAGCAATAGTGGGCTTACTGTGCAAACACAACCCCAAGGCAAGTCTGCAACACATTCTTCTAACAGGAAACCACTGCTAAGCCTCTCCAACACAGTCTAGGAATTAATGCAATAGCTTTCCACTGGTATCTCACCAAGAGTCTTTCCACACTCATATATTTCATACAATCACTTTCTGAAACAGTTCTGATCACAGTATAGCCTTAAGAACGCTCTCAGTGAAAAAGGAAAGAAGGGCAAACAACATCATATGCCATAAAACTCCATTATCTTATGGGATTTGGGGCCAAACCAATCTTTTCAGATTTAGTTTAAATATGATGTTTTCTAGGAAACTAACCCAGTAGTCTATAGGAGCCCTAATGGCACAATTATTAAGTGCTTGGCTGATAAAGGTTGGTTGTTTGAACCCACTTAGTGGCTCTGTGGGAGAAAGAGCTGGTGCTCTGCTTCCTTAAAGAATACAGCTAAGAAACCCCTATGGGGCAGTTCTCTGTCACGTGGCGTTGTTATGAGTCAGAATCAATTCAATGGCACCCAACAACAACAATTCAATACTCTTACCTCTACATTCTCTTTGGGAGCTCTGGTTGGTATAGTGCCTAAGGCATGTGACTGCAAACTAGAAGGGTGGCAGTTCAAACCCACCAGCCACTCCTCGGAAGGAAGGTTGGGCAATCTACTTCTGCAGTGATACCACTTCAGAGAGTGATTGAAAATATTTTGTTTTATCTCTCTACCACAAAACATGAGTTCCAAAGAGAGCAATGGTGGCTTGAATATTGTTTATCACCAGTATCTACTGGGTAAAAGATGTTCAATAAAGGATTATTAAATGAGTACATGTTATCATTCCCAATTAGAATGTGAGTATCTCAAGGGATAGATCTCAGTCTCTGTTGTGTCATCCAGAGTTGCAGAATTCTGAATCTAAGGTTAATAGTTGTCAAACCTTGGGGAATTAAGGCAGCTGACTATTGCTCTTTTGTCATACAGGATGGCTGGAGGGCTGGCAATGGAAGTACTTTCCTATGAGACTAAGATAAGATTGTTTTCTTCTCATTACTTTTGATATCACTCACAGAGAGAACAGAGATGTTGACCTTGATGGAGGGCAAAGAGCATAAATTTTGAACTACAGGCTATTTCAGGGCTGAGCAGGCTTTGAAAGAGGGTTGTTTTAAGAAATCCAGAGGCAGAGTGAGGGCACTGGACCTCTGGGTGGGGAGGAAGAGAAGCCAGTTCAGAATGGAAGAGGGATGAAAAAACTATTCCAGTTGGCAAATATACTTAAAGCCTACATGACATCTTAAACTTGACAATGCTTTAGAAGAAGTCAAAATTATGTAAGAATGAACAAAGAATAAATGTCCGAGTACATACAAGTAACTGAATAAGAACCCACTAATCAGAAGAAGCAGTTGGATCCCAAGGTAATCCCAATAGCAAATCAAATCAAATTAGAGTTAGCCTGGAGACCCTCAAGTGAGCTAAGATTTTCTCTGCCCCTGGGCCACTGCAGTAGGGCTCTTACCTAAAGTGAAAATAGGGAGAATATTAGAAAGGAGTGGCAGATAAATCAAATGATACCCAAATGTTGTGAATGAAAAACACTAAATTCACACTAAGCTATCTAAAGATCTGCTAAAAGATATACTAAATATAACATTCCTAGATTGTTCATCTAAAATTTAAAAAGAAAATGTTTTAAAATGTGACAGAAGTTATGGTAAAACTGAGGATATAGAAACAGGACTCTGAAATACTCTGAGGCCTAATATCCCGGTATCAACAGGTGAAGACTTATCAACTAATTTTCAATATAAAGCTATGGACCCAACTTCCCTACCTTCTAGAAAGGAACCAGAATGCAAAACCTTTTCTGAGTTTGCTGTAATTTTTTTAGTCAGAGAGACCAGATAGAACAAAGGGATGGAATATCTTATTTCCGTAAGTTCTATAGATTCTATGTAATATATAATAGGGTACCTCATTTCTAGGCAACAGCTACTCAAAATTTTGGAAAATTAATGTAACACAAATATGTTGGATGTCCAATATAATTTTAAATATGGAAAAGGATACTAACTGGTATTTAAAAAAAAAAATAGGGAAAATTAGTAAACGTGTAAAAATGCTCAAACTCATAAACAAACATAGAATATGTGATTGTATCATTGCTTGCATTTGGCATTATAGTTTGTTAAATGGTTTCTTCAGATTTAGTAGGTAAAAATTGATATCTTAAAGATACCAATTTAACAAAGAAACCATTTAATGAACTATATACCAAATGCAAGCAACAGTAGAACCATACACAGGTATTCTAATACACTAACAACATCTAGTCCTTTCTGTCAGCCTCTCCTCTATGATTACATTAGAAATCTCAGAGCCTCTCCATTTCTATTACTTCCCAGAAACTCACATACATGATTTAGTAATAAAATGAAAATATTATAAAATCTGATTGGTTTTCTCAAAAAAACAACTCTCAGCTATTCAAACTAAATTTCTTTCTTTGAAACATGCCATCTCCTCCTTATTTCCACTGACCATTTCCAATGTCTTCCATTCTCCAATTTTTATTCTTTTCACTACCCTTCCAACTCTTTAATAAGGATAGAGAAGAAACTTAAATTGCCAGTCTTGAAGAGGTGATAAAATATTCATTTTGGGGGGCAAGGGCTGGTAGAGGAAGATGGTGATGTTATTATAAATATGTGCAGTGCAGTGAATTACTTAATATGGCCCTTCTAGCTATAGTCTTTCTAACTCCCACCAAATGGCTGGGTGGGATTATGCAAATGAGGTGCTTGTGGGCCACCAAGGGGATTAGACAGCTTGCTAATAATGTAAATAAGGCACATGGCACCCTTGTGGGGGTGTTGTTGTTATGGACCATCAATTCTTAGAAACCATACACACAATAGAATGAAACACTGTCCAATCTTGTGCCATGCTCATAATCATAGCTATGTTTGCGCTCATTTTTGTAGCCACTGTGTCAATCCATCTCATTGAGGGTGTTCTTCTTTTTCATTGACCCTCTACTTTACCAACCATGATGTCCTTCTCCAGGGACTGGTCCCTCCTGATAACATGACCACAATATGAGGGACAAGGTCTCTCCATCCTTGCTTCTAAGGAGCATTCTGGCTGTACTTTTTCCAAGACAGATTTGTTTGTTGTTCTGGTAATCTATGGTATATTCAATATTCTTCACCAACACCATTAGTTCAAAGGTATCAGTTCTTCATTCTTCTTTATTCATTGTCCGGCTTTCATCCAGCATATGAGGTGATTGAAAATACCATGACTTGAGTCAGACATACCTTACTCTTCAAAGTAACAATTTTGGTGCTTAGCACTGTAAAATGTCTTTTGCAACAGATTTTCCCAATGCAATATGTCCTTTGATTTTGTGACTGCTGCTGCCATAGGTGTTGATTGTGGGTCCAATGAAATTGTTGACTACTTCAATCTTTTCTGCATTTATCATGATGTTGCTTACTGGTCTAGTCATAAGGATTTCTGTCTTCTTTATGTTGAGATCTAACTCACACTGAAGGCTGTAGTCTTTGATCTTCATCAGTAAATGCTTCGAGTCATCTTCACTTTCAGCAAGCAAGGTTGTGCCACTTGCATATCTCAGGTTGTTAATGAGTCTTCCTCCAATCCTGATGCCTCATGCTTCTTCATACAGTCCAGCTTTCCTGATTATTTTCTCAGCAAACAGACTGAATAAGTATGGTGAAAGGATACAATCCTTACACACACATTTCCTGATTTTAAACAGTATCCCCTTGTTCTGATTGAATGACTTCCTCTTGGTCTATGTACAGGTTCCTCATGTACATAAACAAATGTTCTGGAATTCTTATCTTTTGCAAATATTTATCATTATTTATCTCAATTGGTGAGATGTTTGGCACTGTATCAGATAATGTTCCATTGCTATTCATAAGGCCTTCTTCATAATCTGTCTTAGTCTGGAAGCTCTGCTGAAACCTGCTCACCATGGGTGACCCTGCTGGTATTTAAAATACCAGTAGCATAGCTTCTAGCATCGGAAACATGCAAACAAATATAGCACGACAAACTGACAGATGAATGGTAGTTTGTAGGGGTAGGACCAGGCAAATACGGTGTATGGAACCCTAACAACGGTATTGGTCAGATTTGTCATCCTGCTAGGCTTAAAATAAGCCATCCCAGAAGTGGGCAGGGGGACCTCACCACTACCAAGAGGAAGAGCTAGGAGCAAAACACCTGGCATCCCTGCATTAAGAGACTCCTAGACTCTGGAGACAGAGAGAGCAAGCTATAACAAGAGAGAGATGGTGAGAAGCAGTGGCAGAAAAATGGCATCAATAGAACCAGGAGACCTACAGGAGATGGTGCAGTGTGTGGGCTGACCCCACAGAGTGATCACAGCTGAGTGTCTTCAGGCAGGAGGCTTGCTGATAGAGTGGGGTGTCTTGGCACACTTATCTGTGGATCTAAAGAGCTTTGCAATATTTGCCCATGCAGGGCAAAGGCCAGGCCAGAGAGAGACCTGTCTGCAGGTATGGTAGAGAAGAAGCTATTATGATTAAAGACTTGTATCCTCAGTGGTTCTAAACCTGAATTGTAACCTGTTACTTCCCTAATAAACCCCATAACTGTGAGTATGGCCTATGAGTTCTGTGTGATCATTGCAAGGAATTACTGAACCCAGCAAAGAAGTAGAGAGTGTCATGGGAGGACAGTTGGTGTCAGAACTAGTAGAAAGGTTGGAGGGTAAAGACATGCCTGACCTCTTGCTCATATTAATCAGCCTTGGGCTATTGATCTTGATTCTCCTCCCAGCTTGTGAAGTTGGATGAGGTTGGCACGGCCTCCATGTCATTTTACAATGTACTTGTATATGGTTAGAAGCTTTGGTGGCATAGTGCCTAAGGCATTTGGCTGCTAACCAGAAGGCTGATGGTTCAAACCAACCAGCCACTCCTTGGAAGGAAGACTGGGCAATCCACTTCCATAGTGATACTGCCTCAGAAACTCAAGGAGGGGTCACTATGCGTTGGATCCGACTTGACAGCAGTGAGGTTTTTTTTTTTTTTTTTTGTATATGTTGCTTTGTGCTCATAAATTGTATATGGTCTAGTTAAAATTTAGCTCTTGGCTTCAAAAACATCAGACTCTAAAAACAACGAAATTCCTTCTCTATTATTTTAACTTCCTTTTCTGACTATTGGGTTTCCAAGGCTGTGAATCTTTATGGAAGTAGACTGCCTCATCTTCCTCTTGCAGAGCAGCTGATGGATTTGAACTGTCAACCTTCTGCTTAGCAGTCAAATGCCTTACTCACTACACCACCAGAGCTTATAAAAGTACTACATGCTCATGTAAAAAGTTTAGTACAACAGAAAAAAATAAAAATAGACCATTCTGCGGAATTCTAATGAGAAGCATAATGTCAGACCACTACCTAGAATTTCTCCTTTATGTACATGTAGAGAAAGCTTTCCAACTATGGGTAAAAATGCTATAACATGAAGAATCACTAAATTTGAGTAAATAAAAATGTTTAAACTTTGCATGGCAAAAACTACCACAAGTGAAGTCAAAAGATAAGAAGCAAACACAAAATATCTGCTACATATATTATGAGTAAATGGCTAGTAGACCTTATTTAGGAGCTCTGGTGGCATAGTGCTTAAGGCACTTGACTGCTAACCAGAAGGCTAGTGGTTCAAACCCACCAGCCACTCCTTGGAAGGAAGACTGGGCAATCTACTTCTTTAGATATACCACCTTGGAAACCCAAGGAGGGGTAGCTATGAGTCAGAACTGACTTGATGGCAATGAGTTTGGTTTATTTTGGTTTGGACTTTATTTATAAAGAATTTTTTTAAAAATTAAGGAAAAATCAGACCTATAGCTACGAGTAGCAGACCAATTAAAAAAAAGAGAGATAAATATCTCCCTTATACATATGAAAAGATATTCAACTTCATTTGTAATAATGTGAAGACAAATTAAAACAAAACCAAATACCATTTCTCATCTGTGGCATGGGCAAAAAATTCAAAAGCTTGACAATATACTTTGTTGGCAAGGTTGCAGGGAAACAAAATGGCACAATTCTGTACAGGAGACTCTGGCAATATCCAACAATATTATACATACATTTACCCTTTGCTAGGAAATTCCACTTTTAGGAGTGTGAGAATGGTTGCACAGCTCAAAGAATGTAATCAGTGTCATTAAATGGTACAAGTAGACACTGCTGCATTCGTGTATGTTTTGAATAATAAAACTTAAAGAAAAAAAGAAAAGGGGAAAGAGGGGTTGTTTAAAATATTTCAGAGAACAAGCTGTTAATTTTATATGTCAACTTAAAAATATTTTCTCTATTTATAACAGTATATGACCTAAGGAACTGCAATTAGGTAAAATGAATAAACATTGCTAGCCTTCTTAAAAAATAAAAAACAAAAAAACAGAACTATATGCTTTAAAAACATCAGTATCATGAAAGTCAAAGAAAGCCTATGGAAGTGTTCTAGACAGAAGGAGACTAAAGAGATATCAAAATTAAATGCAATACCTTCCTAGACTGGATCCTATACTGGAGAGAAAAATATTACCATAAAGGACAGTATTGGGTTAGTTAACAACATTGTCTCTGTACCATGTATTAAGATATAGTCTCACTGTTAAATTTACTGAAGTTGATAACCACAAGTGTTATTTAAAAGATTATCCTTAGTCTTGTAGGTCCTTGGGTGGCACAAACAAGTTTGTACTTGACTACTTTTTTTTGGTTTTACTAACCTAAAGGTTTGAGATTCAAATTCACATAGCAGTGCCTTGAAAAAAAAGGTATGGCAATCTGCTTCCATAAAGATTATAGCCAAGAAAACCCTATGGAGCAGTTCTACTCTGTAACATATGGGGTTGCCGTGAGTTGGAATCCACAGGTATCCCTATTCTTAGGAAATACACGCTGAAATATTTAGGTGAAAATTCCTCTCCAATAGAGTGCAAGTGAGCAACGGATCAAGCACATGAGGTACAATGTTAACCACAGGTGAATCTGCATAAAGGGTATATACGAATGTGTTTTATAAAATTCTATTTTTTTGTGCAAGTTTTATGTAAATTTTAAATTATTTCCAATTTAAAAGTTTTATTTTATTTTTTTTCAAATCCACTACCTGTATTTTTCCCCTCACAAATGTGGTGATATCGTTCTCATTTTCAAAGATGGAGAGTGTTTGCAGCAGATTCTGCTCGAGCCATTCCCAGTGTTCAGTGATTTCTTTCCTGGAACCACCTGCATGTATATAAAAACAGAAATAATAAATGTTGGAATTCATGACAAAGATATTACAAACTGAGACTCAGTTCATCAGAATCAATGTCATCAAATGCAACTATTATTCCAACAACTTGGCCTTTAAATGCTTTTCCCCTTCGAGGAGAGGTTACTATTGTACACAGAAGACACTTAAGATGTGGAAACCCAAGAGTAAATATTATGTTATAGTCAAGTCTGATCACCTTAGTGCAGAAACTTTTAGGACATTTTTTTTCAGATGAAAAGGCAGCCACATTTCTCACACATTCACCTTTCTGAATTGGGAGTTTATTGTTATTCTCCTCCAATATGTTATGGCTGACATAGATCTTGTTATGATACTAGGTTACAGTTGTTAAGTTGCAACAATATGAGAGCTTTGGGATGCCACTAGAGATTTGAGGTAACCACCTCCTACAATGGGCAAAAAATTATCCTCGCTCACTTCAATTATGAATGAGATGTGAAAATGGACTGTCTCTAGGGAAGAGCAGCCTGCCCGCTCTCACCATCACTGCTGTCTCAAAATGCAACAGGATGAGGTCATCCCTGCAGCTGTTAACCAAGATGCTACATTTGGGTAAACAATAAGCATAGATCACCTCACCCGGCAATCTCCAAATTTAAACAACCCTCGCCTTGCAGAATATGTAACCATCACCCTGCTTTCTGCTCACAACTGCAGAGCATAAAAGGGATGCCATCAGGATGTGGTTGTAAAGATGATGGCATAAATTCTCTTCTTCTCTTTTCTGCTTTTCTTGCTCTGGGGCTGTTAATATTACTACAGAAAAAAAATATATCTATGTATGTATATATATATATAAAATCCATATGGATATGTAGCCAGACATATCCATATCTGTATCTCATTCTAGAATTAAAGAGTGATTTTGTGATGCCACTGATTTATCTACAAGCATCTCCTTAGATATCCATTTATCTTTTCATTGATTTCTTAAAAGCATGTTCTCTGTCTGTTCTTTGTCACTAGTGATTCAAGATATCTCAGACTCTCACTCAGATTCTTGACAAAGAAAGAAAGGCATAAATGGACCTACAATTATACTTGGACTTCTCTTAGAAAATGGGAGGTCTGCTTGAGGGGTTTCAGATATACTCTTCTGAGGAGAGGCAAAACAAAATGAAACAAAATTGAAGATTATTTTCTTTTACTTTAAGACTAAACACCAGAATTGCCTACATGGAATGCTTAGCAGAAGATGAAGAGCAGATTTCTTACTGGACAGGCAACCTAGTGCCACTACAGAAGAGACTGTCTGCATCTCTTCACTGTTATTTTTCATGGCTCACTCACTTGAGGAAAGTTATGGATTAAACTGTGTCTGTAAAAAGTTATGTTGAAAATCCTAACCCCTATACCTATAAATGCGACAATTTTGCAAATGGAGGGTTTCTTTCGTTATGTTAATGAGGCCATATCAGAGTGGGGTAGTCCTAAATCTAACCACTTCTCAGTGGCACCTTATAAATAGGGCAAAATAGACACAGACACACAGCGGAAAGATGCAGAGTGACCACATGAGAAACCATGTATAAACCAAGGAACACCAGTGAAGTCCCAGGGTCATGGACAAGGAGGCACCCTCCCCTGTAGCCAATAGGCTAGTTTGGATTTCTGGCCTTCAAAACCATGAGACAATAAATTCCTGTTCTATTAAGTCAGTGGTATTTTTGTTACTGCAGCAATAGGTAACTAAGACAGGACCACAATCGACCATGTGGATAAGCAACAGGATGCCACTGTACTACTATGTTATGACAAAAGCTAGAACTCTGAATACTTGGATCTGCACCCTACTCTGCCACCAGCCAATAATGTGACTTTAGATAGTAAGCTTATATCTCAAATTTTTCACATGTAAAGTAGAGACTAAAGAACTCTGGTAGTGCACTGCCTAAGACATTTGACTGCTAACCAGAAGGTTGATGGTTCAAACCCACCAGCCACTTCACAGAAGAAAGATGGGTCAATCTACTTCCTTAAAGATTTACCACCTCAGAAACCCAATGGGGGTCGCTATTAGAGTTGACTCGATGGCAGTAAGTTGAAAGTGGAGACTAATGGGGAAGAAAACACCAAAAACATTCCTCACTCATCTCAGAGCAATGCTGTGAAAATCACAAAGGGTAATATATGCAGAAAAGGACCCCTGGTGGTTCAGTGGTTAAAGCACTCAGCTGCAAACTGAACCAACCAGCCACTCTGAGGAAGAAAGATTGGGCAGTCTACTTCTGTAAAGATTACAGCCTTGGAAACCCTATGCAGCAGTTCTACTCTGTCCTACAGGGTTGCTATTAGTCATTGAATCAACTTGATGGCAGTTTTTTTATTTTTATTTTTTTTAACATACATATGGAAAACAAACAAACAAAAAACCCACTCATGACACAGCGGAAAACCAAACCAAACCAAACCCCTAAACCTCCTGGCAACAGGTTTTGGTGAATATCTTCAGGTACATTTTAAAAAGCAGAATACAGTTTTCCGATGCAAGGTACAATACTTACTTGGGATATTTAGAGGATGAGTTATTCTGCAGTTTGCCAGCAAATTGCAAAATATTTTAAACTTTTAAATATTGATTAGAAAGTTCTAAAACCTACTTGAAGGCCTTCCCTGCCTATAGATACTATCATCACAGATAGAGCCCTGTACAAAGTAAACAGCAGCCATGTGTCATCCACCCTGCTGTCCCAGCTGTGTGCACTGGCACTGTCAGACGTTCTGTACACCTTATGTCAGAGGCAATTGTGAGGACACATGGGACAGCTAAGTTTCTGCAGACCCACTGGGCACAATTCCCAGCCTCTGACTTTGCCTCTTATCTGCTCCTGTCTACAGTAATCAGAGATGTGCTTTCCATATGCTTATTTTCACACAGGCCCTTGGCTTAGCCAGGGCATCCTGGTCCTTGACTGGCATTTCATCCAGGCTCTACTCTGTACCAGGCAATCATGCCAGGTAATCAACTTTGGAGTTCTTGTTACACTAGTCATGGAACCCAACTCATGCTCAAAATTGCTGAGTTGTCATTGATAGAAAAGTGCATCAGGTGCAAGGTCTGGGGTAAAACAGATTTGCCTTCAGCTTTGCACACATTGCCTTCAAAGTGCTCTTTTTACACACATTCATATACATACATCCCCCACCCCCCACACACATACACTTATAGTAGATACGGTGTATGCATTCATGTGCTCTTCAAAAAACATTTACACATGCCTAACATGTCCATGGAAGGTGCAGTCAAGAATTCAAATGATGTATTATATCAGCAAATCTGCTGCAAAAGACCACTTTAAAGTTTAAAAAGCAAACATGTAATGTAGATTACTAAGGTGTTCCTGACCCAAGCCAAGACCTTTTCAATCACTTCACAGGCATGTGAAAGGTGGGCAGTGAAAAAGGAAGACAGAAGCAGAACTGATGCCTTTAAATTGTGGTGCTGGCAAAGACTATTGAATATACTGTGGGCTGCCAAAAGAACGAACAAACCAGTTTTAGAGTAAATGCAACCAGAATGCCTTTAGAAGCAAAGATGGTAAGACTTCATCTTATTTACTTTGGACACATCATTAGGAAAGACCAATGCTTGCAAAGGACATCAGCTTTGGTAAAGATGAAGGCCAATAAAAATGGCATGGATTGACACAATAGCTAAAATAATGGACTTAAACATACTAATGATCATGAAAATGGAGCAGGACCAGGCAATGCTGTGTTCTGTTATATAGGTCATCATGAGCTAGAGTCAATTTAACAGCAATTAACAACATCTTCACTGGCATTATATGAAGGTACATGTGGTTGATATGTTATATCCCTCCCATCTTCAAATAGCCATCTATGTATTCTTGGACTACAGTATTGACGTATACCTTGTTTCCCTATATATTGCCTTCTGTGTTGTCGAGGTACCTCCTGCTTTCTACCCTGTCCCACTGTCCATCATTTCTTCATCATTACCTTCTACCACCTAATGCTATTTTCACCTCTGGCTCTTTATATTTCTGAATGTGATTACCAACAGTGGACTCCACTCCTATGCTGCTGTTTCTTTTCCATCCTCCATCTTGCTGTTCCCACACTTCTCAACTTCACATGAAAAGGCTGGACTTTTAGAGTTATCAGCAGGCACTGCCTGGTTCTACATATAGATATATACATTGCTAGGACTGTAAATCTAAGTAGTCTTCAATTCTCTCACCTTATTAGGAACTTTGGCACTGCTTCTGTAGTGTAGTACCAAAGAAGTTTTAGAGATTTGTTATGTCATCATCTAGACCTAAGAACCTAAGAGTTCCAAAAGATTGGATCCAAGATAAGTATCCACTGTATGACACCATTATCAACATATATTATTTGGGGAAAGAAAAAATAAGCAAATGCCATCAGCCAAGAGTAACTTCAGGAACTGAACTATGGATTCCTATCTATACCCAATAGCTACTCTCTAGGGAGAATAAGTAATCCACTGCCATCAAATTGATCCTGACTCACAGTGACCCTATAGGATGGAATAGAACTTGGAAACTTGGGTTTCCAAGGCTATAAATCTTTACAAAAGCTGACTGCCTCATCTTTCTCCCCACAGAGCAGCTAGTGGGTTCAAACCATTGACCTTGTGGTTAGCAGCCAAATGCTTTAACCACAGCATCACCAGAGCTCCTTAATGTAAGTAAAATTACCCCAAACAAGGCCTCTGCTCTACAAATGTACCATACACACGTTCATGTTGTTGTTAGGTGCCACTGAGTTAGCTCTGACTCATAGTGACCCTATGCACAGCAGAATGAAACACTGCCTGGTCCTGTGCCACCCTCCCAATCCTTGCTGTGCTTGAGCCTATCACTGCACCCACTGTGTCAACCCATCTCATTGAAGGTCTTCCTCTTTTTTGCTGAAACTCTACCTTACTAAGCATGATAAAATCTGGTCATTCTCACTTCTA